GAGTAGAGAGGACTCAGAAAGCTCCCTTCTTGGTCGGAAAAGACTTAGGAAATGAGAAAGATTTCATCTTCTTGTTAGGAAATGACTTGGGAGAATCATATAATATCTGTACGTTATTGCGATTCCGTGTCTATGCGCTGCGCTTCCATAACTTTGGACTTCAACGTTGAGCGGGTGAAAGCCGACCCCAACAGTTAGCCCCCCAGCTCGGTAGTGTTAGTGACAATAGTACCAAGTTAAGGACCATTGGGTGTCGATGTTGCTGTTCCAAGTTATGATGTTATTGTTAGCGTGATGCTGTGGGCTTAGGCCGTTAGTGTGCGTCGATACTGCAGACGCAGCGCTTTGACTGCTGAAGTTGTCAACACTGTAGTGGAGGACAATTTTCGTGTTGGAGATTTCAAGACTCCACGTTTTTATGAAGATTTTAAGACTTCGTGCTTCGATTGCTGACGCTGACAGCACTACTACTGAAGAACATAGACGACGATTGTTTTTTTTTTTGCCTCAAGAGTACTCGTTTTGTTGACTAAGTCTTAAAATGAATTCGTGAGTTAGTGGTTGTTTACACTCAATATGTCTTTTCCATCTTAGAATGCTCTATATCGTGATTGCAGGGTAGTAAAATCGCAAATGCGTTTAGGCTCTGCTTCTACCAACGTTGTTGTTGGGTTTGTGGAATGGTGTCGCTCTCTGAACACGTCTGTCCGAGAGCGAACATACGTTTTGCTTTTACCAACGTGTTGTTGGGTTTTCATAATGATTATTCGGTCTACAAACTGAATAACTATTGGCAGCTGCTTTTTACCAACGATGTTGTGGGGTTTTTGAATGATCAGTTGGATTCATCTGCCCAAATGCTGAACATTAGTACTTATATAGCGCGCTTGGAATCCGATGATGGATGTTTTTGTGTTCGAGTTCACACATCGTCGCTGTGGCCAGTAGCAACGGTTACGGAATTAACTTGCTGGCAAAAGCTTTGAACAACCCTTAGAGGACGTAGCTGATGAAGTTGGTGAGACTTGTGTCAAGTGCCTGATGTTTCCAGCAAAGAATTTGTC